AAACAGCTTCTGCATAGCAACCAGATTAACATGAAGCGAATGTGAAACTGACGGATCCCCCCCCCCCCCCCCCCCCCCCCCCCCCCCCCCCCCCCAGGAGTTTGATTCGTTCTGCTCTTTGAGGTCAGAGGTCAATGCTCGGCTCCGTCAGGATTTATTTGAGCTTGGAGCTTCATGAGGATCGTTCTCCAGGTTGATCGCTGGAATCTCTCTCTCTTGCTTCTTGTAATGTTTGGATTGTGGAGCGACTCAGTGCTCAGACATCTTGGAGCTCCGCAGGTCCTCAGCCCCGCGGCCATTTCCCTAACTAACATTCAGCCCAGTGTTACCGTGGAAGCTTTATTGCATCAGGGGTCCGATATATGAACTTTATATGAAGTGATACTCTCACAGAACAGCTCATACAAAGTGATGACTTCATACGTTAGAATAATGAATCAATACTGCAGCTGTATGACAAGCCCTTTAATGTCGGAATGACAGCACAGTGGAAAACAGGATCAAACCACATGGAGGCGCTATGCTGGTCTGTGAGTGTGGAACAGAATCTTCTTGAAGGCCCTCCTGAAGTCCCGGTTGAAGATGGTGTATATGATGGGGTTCAGGCAGCTGTTGCAGTATCCGATCCAGAAGAAGAGGTTGAAGAGCGAGTCGGGAATCGTACACTTGTCTCTGCACACAGCCTGGAGACTGTAGGTGAAGAAAAATGGGAACCAGCAGAGAACAAAAACTCCCATCACCACCGCCAGAACGAAGGTGAAGCGCTTCTCCCTCATTTGAGCCACTTTGTGTTTGGACAGAGACGAGTGGCGGCTGCGCAGCGGCACGGGAGAGGGGAGGAGGCAGTGGTGGGAGAACTGGTCTGATGATGCCCAGGATATGGAGGCGCAGGAAGGAGGCGGAGGAGGTTTCAAACTGCTGGTTGTTACCTCAGCGTCCTTCCCTTCCTCTGTCTTCACCCTCCCACCTGCTCTCCTGGGGAAACGGAGAGACGAGGGGAAGGATGTTTTCACGTCAGCCTCGAGGCTTCTCTCCTCCAGGTCGATACCGTCCAGCTCTCCTCTCCTGTGGCTGCTGCTGGTGCTGTCTCTGTTGGACGAGCTGTGGCGGTTGACGGGCTGCGGGCTGTGCAGCTCGTACTGACGATCGCCGGCTCCTTTTCTTTGGCAGGTCCTGGCCGTGCCCACGAAGCAGGTCTCGGACTGTGACGGCTGCCGCTCCATCGCATTCTTGGCCACGAACACGGTGGAGGCTCGCTGCTTGGCAACACGGTAGATCTTACAATACACCAGTATCATGATGACTCCCGGGGCGAAGAAGGACACCAGGCAGGAGGAGAGGATGTACCACGTGTGGTTGTTGAGAAGACACTCCTGCATCTGTGTGTCCCTCTCGTCCTCCGTCTCCACATCCTTCTCTTTCTGCGTCATGAGGAGCGGTGGGGACGAGATGACGATCGATATGAACCACACCACGCTGATCATCGCTTTGATCCGCTTAGGCGTCCGTTTGCGGTTGTAGCTGACGGCTTTCGTGACGGACCAGTAGCGGTCGAGGCTGATGGCGCAGAGGTGGACGATGGAGGAGGTGCAGAAGAGGACGTCCAGAGCCAAGTAGAAGGAGCACCAGGTGGAACCAAAGTACCAGTAGCCCATGACCTGAGGAGGAGAAACCAGAGAGAAACGTTAACGACTCCTTTGAGCAGCACTCATGACCTGCAGGAGAAGTCAGGCCTCGAGCAGCAAACACATAAACTCAGTCTATTTCATTACTGCAGCTTTTTTCAGCAGCTTCATATGAGCTCTCGTGATTTAAGCTGACAACCTTTTCACAGCTGCATGAAACCTGAAAATATCCCTCAGCTTCTCATTCTGCTGCAGTGAAACAAAGTTAAAGAGGAAACGTCTCCTCCGGTTTTTTCCTCCACAGCAGCTGATGAAGACGTAAATATCAGACTCTCTCAGCTGCTCGGCTACAAGAAGCCGCTGAGTTTTAAATAAGTTCCTTCTCAGTTTATGGTTTTACAGGATGACCTGCTCTCTTTGAAAGTTTTAAATTAGCTTCAGTTTTAAAATCATATTTATCATTATCTACCTGAAAACTGAGTCTGTTCATGTGGAAACATGAACCACCAACATCAACAGAAAAATGATTAATGATTAAGCATTAAATGATAACATTATTATTAGTGATGTGTTGAGTAGTGAACAGTGAGAGACAGCAGGAGAAGGAGAACAGAGGAAACCAGTTCAAGTGAGACGATGAATAAAAGAGGCAGAACGACCCAACGAGTGTTAATGAAAAGTTTCCCTGCTGAACAGACAAGACCCCAGAACACATCTGCCAACCTGAAGCAGAAAACAAAGCGTTCCTATCTAACGAGGCCCAGACGCTGCTCCAGGTCCATTTCACATGTTAACGTCTGATGCAAAGCAGCGAGAAACTGTCAGAGGCAGGAAACAAACCTGAAACAGCAGCTAAACATCAACCTCACAGACCTGAGGGAGGAAAACATGGTTTATTCTGCAGCTCCAACACAAAGTTTATCTACTGACAAACTTCACTGAAAACATCTGAGGCCAAACTGACTGGAAACACTTTCTGCTGAAGACGTCTCGTGGTTTCCACTGAAGCAGAAAACAGTGAAGCATCATCTTTGTTTGATTTATCATACATCTGGTAATGATGATGCTGTGTAATCATCACTCATTACATTTCCTGCTGCCACTAGGGGGCACTAAGGTGCAACGTGGTGGATTTTATTATTATAATTGATCGGCAGTAAAAACGAACACAGATTGATCAGAATCAAGATGGACGACATGGCAGCTTCCACAACTGAAGACAAATGGAGTTGATCACCCCCTGGTGGCTGTCTACAGTGAAGGTCATAAATCTAAACTAAAAAATCAAAGTGTACAACGTTTGTCAAAAGATGTTTCTGTCGTTTCAGCTCGTTCTTCTCTCACGGAGGTTTGTTCAGGTGTTTCTGATCAGTTTGGTTTAATGACTTATTTGATGATATAAAAGACATCATGATTGACAGCTGAGACTGTCTCCTGATTGGCCGGAGCTGTCGCTGTGGCTCAGCTCAGACTCTGTGATTGTCACGAGATGGCAGCATCTGTATCTGGGATGTTCTGGCTTCATGTTTGCACAGTGGAGACGTGTCCTCCATCCATATTTCTATCATATATCTGATCTATATTTACAGTTAAAGGTTGAGCTGATCATGAGTTTGAGCTTCTACACTTGTTATTATCTCATTACTTCATTATCTCGTCTCTGTGCAGATGGAGAATGATGTTGATGATTTTTAGTCGATCATCAACTCTGTGATGATTATTATGGAATGTTCAAACCTTCCTGGTCCCTGGAGGATGAACCTCCACACTCTCTGATCCTCTGGTGCAGGATGTCCACATTTTTTATTCTGAGTGAAATGAACTGTTGATTTGAAATGTGGTGAAAGCATTAATGGTTCATGTGAACTCTCATACTATAACTGGGCCAACATGTTATTCCAACTCTGACTGTGGACAAATCAGACGGAGGTCAGAGCCTCCAGCTACAGATGTGTCTGCATTATGTTCTAACTGCATTTACATCTGTAAGATAAGATGCAAACAGCAGCTGCATGTCCATGATGGAGATCCTCACCTCATTAGCCAAAGAGAAGGGAATCACCAGCGTCGCCACCAGAATATCCGCTGAGGCCAAAGACACCAGGAAGAGATTTTGAGGCGCCCTCAGAGCTCGACTGGTGAACACGGCCATCACCACCAGCACGTTACCCACCACGGTCCCCAGGATGATGACTGTGACCACCAGCACGATGAAGACTGACACCACCTGAGAGTGAGGAGGTAGAGGAGGAGATCTGGACAGGGAGGAGGGGGAGGTTTGACTGACATTGTCCAGAGAGGAGTCTGGTGGTGAAGAAACAGGAGTGAAGACATCTGAGAAGTCCATCCTGGTTAAATGACTGACGTCATGATGCCAATTTATTTTCAACCTCCAGTCCATTCACCTGTAATGGAAGATAATAACAGAAAGTACGAATATGAAACAGAAGAGAAAAACAGAGTCAAAGAATCTGCTGGAAAAACCTTCAATTAAAATACGTCTGAAGAAAATCGTTAATATCTTCACCGCTGACAAAATACAAATCACACATTAGCGTCTCAAATCCTCAGTTTGACAGCTGTGGTGCATGTGTCCTGATGTCAGACTCACAGAGTTTCATCTCTGACAGAGCGATTTACATCATTTCCAGAAGTCAAAAATGATAAAATGTCCATTCAGACGTTTCATTCGGGATTAAAGCTGCAGGATTGGTCGACTTATTTCCAAAGAGACAACAAAGCAGAGAAAAAAACCGGTGAGCAGATGTGTTCATGCTCCAGTTTAGCAGAGACGCTGTTTGGATGGTAACTGCTGCACTCACGAAAAGATCAGAGGCAGAAAAAAGGATTGAAGAGAAAATGACTGAAACGATTTTAAAAAGAGAAGAGGAGAAGTGGAGGAGGCGTCATGAGAAAAAAGAACAACAATGAGGCAAGAGAAAGAAAAGCAGACGTCCTCACTTTGATTCGAGTCGTTGCTGTGCCGAGCAACACTGCTGCTGCGTGAGGAGAGAAGAGGAGGAGGAAGAGGAGGAGGAGGAGGAGGAGAGATGCGTGGAGAGGAGAGAGAGGAAGACAAGTGGGATAGGAACTGAGCAAAGTGAGGAGGGAGAAGATGAAGTGAGAGATGCGAGGAAGGTATTAGAAAGGAGAGAGTGTGTGGGAGGAAGAGGAGGATATAAGCATGAGGTGAGGAAAAGAAAAAAGATAAACAGGAGAGAGAATGAAAGGAAACGAAAACGAGAAGAGAGCGAAAATAGGAAAGGATGTTAGACAGGAGAGGAGACAAGGAGAAGACAAGAAGGAAAGAGTAAGAATAAAGAGAAATGCAGAAGGGGAGAGGAAGAGATGAAGAGGAGGTGGATAGAAAGGGAGAGAGGATGTGGAAAAGAAAACGAGTGGAGAGAAGACAATACAAAATGAAAGACAGGAAAGGAGACAGAAGAGGAGGGCATGAGGTGAGAGCACAAGGAGAAGAGGATAAATGAGGCTGGAGAGGAAAAGAAGGAAAGAAAGAGGCAGGAGTGGAGGTGATGAGAAAGGGAGGAGAGGAGACTAGAGGAAAAGGAAAGGAGACCAGGTGAGGAAAAAGGAAAAGAAGATGGAAGACGAACGGATGAAAATAAAAAGATGTGAAATGAAGCATGTGAACAAGGTGTTAGGAAAGGAAGGCATGAAGCGAGTGAGAGAGTGGGAGGAAGAGAACAAAAGGGGAGAGACAGAGGGAGAGAAAAGAAGCTGAATAGAAGAGAGGAGACATGCAGCGGAGGAGAAGAAAGAGGGATGAAGAGTAGAAGAGAAGACAGGAAGAGGATAACAAGAAGTCAAGAGGAAGGGAAAGAGAGGAGAAAAAGATGAGGAAGAAAAAAGGAAGAAACTAGGATGAGCGAGGAAAAGAGACGACAACAAAGGAACTGAGATTAAAAGAGAAGAAACAGTTTCAGACTCGTTCGATCTGGTTTCACTTTGAAATGGTCGTCAATGGATCTCATCCTCTATGATGATGTCGTTCAGTTATTCCCGACGGCTCCGCCCACAGATCTCTACATCATCACGTATCTCTACATCACGTATCTCTACATCTCTACATCATCACATCTCTACATCATCACATCTCTACATCATGTATCTCTACGTCATCACATCTCTACATCATGTATCTCTACATCATCACA